ATATCAATTACGATAAATTGATATGCCTAACCTACTTATCACCGGAGACAACGAATTTGGGAGTTGAAATTTAATTCAGTAATTCAAACCGGTTGACAACTTTAACTGAATATGACAGCACAACACACGTGCAAACGTCATGCACGGTGGACCGATTTATCGGGTTAGTATGAACTCGATAAAAGTTAATTTTTAGAAATAAAAGATGGTATTAATTTTTTTAGAACAATTAGGAATCCATTTACATGGGGTAATGGAATTGCCGACAGCCAAGACTGTTGGTATTCACGTAAACTCGCGGTAGTTGCTGTAACGGCGAGTTGTATTTCAAAGCGTATGGAAACTTTAGTGGCCCGCTAACAGGATAGTCTCCGATTTCGCATTGCGCTCTCGCTTTACCCATATACGTATATATATTAATATGTACTACTTAATCGAACATTTTTTAACGAGTAACAATATTAAATAATTCAATAAACGTAGACTTCTTAAGAGCAATTTACTAGATTCGGACCGTAACCATATAAAAGTTTACTTTATACACAAGACGTCAGGCGATAGGTTTAAAAAACTGTAAAGTAAAAAATTAAAACAAGAATGGACTAGGACTGCCAAAATCTTGTGATAAGCATTGTACACGTAATTGTCCTAGCATAGATCAACTTCTCTAAATGAAATACATGGGCCAACTCAGACATGACTTGCGTTTATGAAAATTGCACTTGTAGAGAGTGAAAGCAATAGTAATTAGTCAGATCATAGGGTTTATTCGTCTTAAATTAATAGAATTATAAGCTCAGAAAGGGAGAAAAATAGTTCTAACACTTGGAGGGTTTGCATTTAGATAGGATTCATTGTACAATGTTCAACACATAAATACAGTACTGTGAAAGAAAATTTGACTGAACGGTACTAAGCAGAAATCAATTCTTTGAGATGCGTTTATAAAAACTTGGATCATGGTGAATCGTATCGTCGTTAGCAATTTGGTGTGTTTGTATATGTTCGTTATAGGCCAAGTTTTCTAATCACTTGTGCTATAGTTTGAATGTCTGTTAGATATACATCTGGTAAGATCATAATCAGATCATGAAAGGTTTATATCAATGAGTTGGGCAATCAGTAATTAGTTAACATCTTTACCTTTTATTGTATTCTTCATAATTAATCCAGACTTCAAAAAAATTTTTTAAATTCCAATAACGTTATGTCACGCTCTTCTCCGAATACGAATTGAACGAGAATCACCTTTATCCATCACTGATGCGACAAGTGCGATTTACGCAAAACGGTTTAGGCCCTTTGTTGACCTTAAATTAAGATTGCATCTGTCTTTAAACTCTACTTTTATTCCAATAAATATCATAGGAATTTGATTCCAGAACCTTTGCCAAAGCTGTTGCTCCCGTATCCGAACGAACTGGCTTAGTGGCGGGATAGAAATTTAGGTCTGGTGTGTTATGCGAAAGAATTCTACGTTGCATACGTAGGAATTGATATGCAATGATATAACAAAGCCATTCTACGTATTCCCTACTCGTAATACGGGCACCAAGCTACTGTTGGCTATTGGACATACAAGCACGACCTTGTTAGCACATGTATAGACCTTTGGTTTGTGTTTTGAACATAAGGCTTTGTTTTTCATGCTCGAACGTCATATAGAATAAGAGTTTGAGGGAGAAAGACGTATGGTTTTCTGTTTGTATTTGTCGACCAACAATGTATAATAGCCTTTATCCTACCGCACAGAGCATAAAAGAGAAAAGTGTTGGAGACAATGAAAACAAAGATAAATTTAGTGTTGACTGATTGATTGATTGAGCAACGTTAGATAACCAAATTTGAATGTTATGTTTCTCAAGAGCTGTGACTATGCGTCACCCTTCTCATGATTTTCGAATACATGACACACTTGTACATTGTAATACTTGCAAACACACAGGTTAATAGATACTTTAGGAGAAGAGGGGGTGATGGATAAGAGATCGAAAGTAAATATTTGGTTAGAAGAGGGCTGATAAATGAATACAAAAATAAGGCAAGAGTAAGCGAGAAGGGGATAGCGCGCGCAGACAATGAGCAAATTTTAAGTCATTAGCAGTGGTTTTTATGTTGCTCGTAAACTCAATCAATTACTGTATGGTTAGATCAGTGTTTTAATATTTAAAAACAATTCTCAAGTTCCAAAAGAGCTGTATTTTCCAAAAGAGCAAGGCTTTTTGTATTTTCCAACTTTGGGCTATACAGGGGTTGCATGAGGGCTTCTCTTAAAACTATTCTGCGTCACTGTGGATCAGCGAACAGTTATTGGAAAAAGAATCAGAAATAAGAATCATCGGAACTTCATGTGTTGGCTGGTACTATTTGATTTATTGAACAAGCCCTTTATAAAATGCCATGGGTGTCGGGAGAATTGCCGTGTGACTGATGCGTTGATAGATGGCGTCATTATACACTGATTCAGTCTTCCGTGTACGTGCATTAAAGACGTCATAGTACGTCATTTGTGACAGGTACGTAAACATATACCATGAAAAAAAGATGAAAATAAGGATAATGTGGGGCCAGTAATGTACATGCTAGTGTGTTAGGGGTAAAGATCCTAATATCTGTATGTGTTGGATTACACATGCGACTAATCAATTGAAACTTATACAATATGTTAGTTAGTATTACACATGTATAATCTCAGGCGGGGCAATTATGATAAATACATTGGGCCAAAAGAATTCGGCTATTATAATTTATACGGCCGTATACTAGTCTTCATTATTTAATAATTATTGATATATTAAAGTCACGTTAATTATTAAATATTAAATATGAAAATTATTTATCGCCTATTATTACGCTTGGTCAGTGCCATTCTTTTACCATCCTTCTTCACTTGTTCTCTTACTATGTTCATCGTAAAAAAGCAGACAATCAAACAAAGGGATAGACGGTATAGCTGGTAATAATAATAATCATAATAATAATAATAATAATAATAATAATAACCAATAACATGACGAACAGGATATCTCTACATAAAGAACAAGATGTGATGGGAATGTGCAGTGAACGAATACAAAATACAACGCTGTTGAACAAATAAAGGACGTAATTAATTTAGCTACGACAACGCAACCCTGTAACATATATTTTGTCCCTATTCGTCGATTATGCCAATCTCTACACAGGTAAAACGAAAAAGCAGTGGGCGTATGTGCGTATGTAAATAAGGTTTGATAAGGTATTTAACGAGCTTGTCCCCGTGAGCCTTAGAAGAGAGTGCCCCCGCCTCATTCCAGACCCTCTGCAGGAGTTGGGCAAATGAGGAACAAAATATTAGAATAATTTGACATTGTCTGCATTTTCCCACTCTCGGTTTAATTGGGTGCATCTCTTTTCAGTTTTGTCATTTTATGGACGACAATGTTTCTTGTCATGATTATACGATTTCGACAAGGATGGGCCAGATAAACAAAGGTGCTGAATCTAACCGTGCACTACCAACAACCGCAGAGAGAGAGAGAGAGCGAGAAACCGTTGCATCCTTAAAAATGGAAATCGACGTCTCATTATTAAGTTTCATTCAAAATTACGTAATTGCAGGCCAGATTTCGGATGATCGACGAGCAACGTTTTGGGCTTTAACGGTCTTTAGGTAACGGGTAACGAAGTGTTGTCTAATATTGCTAATTATCATTTTTTCATAGAATATTAGTAAGAAATTAATAAATATTACGTAGGAATGTTTAATGCAAATAGTGCAATAATACATCCGTAGTTATAATTGTCGCAAGTTTTATTAATAGCAATGGTTGTAAAAATAAAGGCTGTATTTAAAAATGTAAATAAATAATCAACTTGAAATAAATACATAAATAATTTATAATGGAAACACAATAATATTCTACAAGCAATCCTGTTGCTTGCCAATTCTATTCATTCGTCCCAGCCTATAATGCACTCTCATTTATTCGCTCGGTCCCAATTTATCTACTATGACATCATAGTATCCACAAATAACTGCCACTTTTAAACTATGTGACGAATTAGGCGGCGACTCTCTCGAGGTGTGACGATTATGTTAAAATATATTGAACAGAGTGCTCTCGCATAGTACAATCTATAAAATTGATTCCATCCCCCCGAAACTCGCAACAAAAGGTACGGCGGGGTAAGATTTCTTAACTTATTGTATACGCAGTTGATAGGTAGCAGCAAAAGACGCAATCTTAGAAAGGAGCGTTGCAACAAAGAAACAGAAGAGTTGGGCTGGCGGTCAATAGGATGTACAAAAGTGAAGCTGTTGGGTCCAAGTTCAACCATTGCAAATCAGGAACGGAGGCAAAAGTAAAAAACTAAGCGAATCTTTCGTAGAAATAATATCGAAAGAGTAACAAATATCAACCTGAATACGGTGCTGTCCAGTAAAAGAATAAGACAAAGTACCAACAGCAAACATTCAGACTGTCAGCCAAGTGCTTAATTCAATACCTATTTACAAAGATTACCGTCTGCAACTGCTTCATACAGCATATCATCAGAATACAAACACTAGTGTGTTCATGTCTGATGGTTCATACGTTTCTATGTCTGCTATTCCATTATAACATTCGCTCTTTTACTGCTGCTTCCAACTTTTGGTTTATCTGCTATGATTTATATCAATAATTCCGAATATTAACTGACCATCTGAATTATAAACCATTGCTGGATTTAGGCTACCAAAAAGGAAAAAAAATATAAACAAAAAAACAAGAAGGTGGAAAAAAAAAGCAAAGCAAACAAGAAATTAACTGATCGAATGCCAGAAAGAGTATTTAATTGCAAAAGAAACTTTGTACAATTCGTCAATAAAATACTGTGGGCAGCACTTGGCTGAAAATTGGATTGGTGAATTCTGTGAATTTCATCATCACGAGATAAAACGTCCTATAATTGACGAACAAAAAAAATTTTATATATATAAAAAATCAAGAGACTTTTCACAAGGGCGCTATTAAGTAATGAAACAGAATTTAGCTCTCAATATACCAACAGCGGCAACAAAATTACTTAACCACCAACATCAACTTCAATACCAATCCATCATAAAAAACAAGAGCGAACGTTTCGAAGAACGACGATCAACTGCAACCATTCAAGAACAGAATCAGAGAGACTATGTACCATCATTACGCCCGTCACCAAACGGTCAACATCAATGGTTGCATAATCATCGACATGGCTCTCAGTCATCGTCATCTTCATCTTCATCATCGACATCAAATACCATACAAGAATACCAACCACAACAATTTCCCACTCCCACATCACAGTCGCCCTCATCAAATTCGCCACAGTCGAACACGCAAACGCTTACGCAAGAACAGACATCATTTCCGTCCTCGGATCCGAATCTTCAATATTCCCTTCCTCCACCTCACTCCTCCAAATCCAACGATGGTTGTTTAACAACAACAGGACACGAATTTTTGTCACCAAATTTATATAAATTAACTCTTCAGCTTACAACAGAATTGGCGATTAGTAAATGGTGGGACAATGTAGTGGACATATTCACGTCCTCGTACCGGGCTTCTCATCTAACCCTTTCTGTTCCCCACGATCTCACTGACACTGTTAATACACCCTGGGGAATCAAAGCAATGGACAACAGAGATCAGTATCTCAGTAGTGGCAGCTGTTTGTCGAGCTCGATTGACAATAACCATATTGTTTTCGACAAATTGCAGAGTTTTGATTGCGACACGGAGCAGTTAATTGATAACAAGAAGATACTGTATATAGTTCAAGGAGGACGCATAGTAGTGGTATCAAGAGAATACAGGAAAACAGGAGATGAGCGACCAGAAAGACGCCTGTGGCCGTCTTCAACGCCGGATACTCCTCTAACTGTGGGTGAGGCAACATCATATTTTACGCAGAAAAAAGAGAGTTCATCTTCAGCTCCCAATAATATCCCAAACACACCGCTACTGAACGATCTCGAGGAAGGCAACCTTGGAAATCGTCTACGCTACAGAGACTCTATGCCGTATTACATGGCGAGCGCCAACTGTGAATACTACGAATACGAGCAGCAACAACCCTCCCCATGGTCGCAAAGCCCCACCCCTTCTCCGGCTATGACTGATTCAAACGTTAATCCTTTTTTTCAGACAATACCAGAGATTGATGATAGTGCATTTAACCCGAATTCTGAATTTTCGTCAAGCTATTCGTCGGTCAAATTTGACTATTCTGTTAATTCTAGCCACGCTTGTTCTATAATACATATTCCGCTGATACATCCGACGACAGCTCGAAACGTCCTCCCTTCGACGACTCGCCAAAATCCTATCCCGATAGCAATACTATCATTTATGTCTTCAGTCGTCCCGTATCCGCCAAACATTGTGGCTTCCCTACAGTCAGTAGCGCCATTTTTGGCTACTACTATGTCGATGGCATCGATACATCAGCAGAGTATCAATCAGTTGATGTATTTTGATCACGCTCGAAGCATGTCGACGAAGCGTAGACGTTATAGACGGAACGGAAAAAGATTGGGAAGAATAGAAGATAAAATAACGGTTAACGGCGATGATAACTATGTATTCTCGGATGTATCAACAGATGATGGAGAAGTGTCTTGGGAGTCTGATATCGAAAGTGTAGCCAGCAGTTTCAAACCTGAGCATGCTGCATCATTCCCCACTTCTAGCTATTATTTGATTAATCCGGATAAAAAGTTTTATGTTAACGGTTGTCATTCGGATGAGTCTTGGCAAGGAGTAAAGAAACAAGGGGTAGTGAAAAATGGTCAGATAGCACAAAGTCCGCAGGCATACCAAACTCAAGTCCGTCCGCATGTCTTAACCGAATCCGAAGACGAATTTCATCCGGCCCACGAAGAACCTCTCACACCCGAGACTCCAGTTGCGTCTCGTCCAATTAACGTGTCCACATCTATGGATCATGCACGCACGGACGAAAAGAGAAAGCCTCGGAGGTCATCCAAGGGGAGTTTTGCCGGGTCGAGAAGGTCTTCTAAAGACGAAATGCAAAGGGTAGTTGTGCCAACAGCAGACATGTATCGGATGATATTAGATGACATGCCCAATGTTGCATTGTAAGTCTTATGGTTTAGTTTTGTTCGCTAATAGTTAAGCTGTCGCGTTTGAAGGAAATGACGGGAAAGCAATATATTTGATTTGTGGTTTAACTTTGAAAAATTTTTTTGCTATTTGAATTTTTTACAGCACCTTCTCTAGAACGAATGGTGATTGCACTTGGGTAAACGCCCGCTTCACTCAATATACCAGTCTCCCTGTTCAAGACCTGCTCGGCAACAATTGGCTGCGGTGTATTCACAAAGACGATCAACAAAGAGTATGGGATTCCTGGCGCGCCGCATTCAATCGTGGCGAAAGTTATTCTGATCAATACCGTATTCGCCGATTTGACGGACATTATCGCTGGTTCCTTGGTCGTGCCCGCCCTATTCGTGATGCCCGGGGTGTCATCATTCATTGGCTTGGTACATCCACAGATGTTCATGATCAAAAAGTAGCTGAAGAGCAACAGTTAACTCGTCGGCATATCGAAGCTAATGAAAAGAAGTATAGGATGCTGGCTGAGGCCATACCGCAGATTGTTTTCACTGCGACGCCAAAGGATGGCATTTTGTATGTAAATAACAAGTGGACGGATTATTCGGGAATGAATTACGAACAGACTAAGGGACTTGGATTTTTGAGTATGGTGCACCCAGAAGATCGTGACAAATGTGTTCTACCACAGGACAATAATCAGGAAGGTGGACATGGGGAAATATACACCAGAGAAGTTAGGTTGCAAGCAAAGGATGAGTCGTACAGATGGTTCTTGGTAAAATGTATAAGTGTCGAATCTTCAGAGCAGGGCAGAAAGTGGTTTGGAACTTGGTAGGTTATTTTTCAGCAATAGCATGATAAAAAAGCGAACAAAGACGTTTCGTTCACACATTACTTTTTATAGTACGGACATTAACGAACACAAAATAATGGAACAACAACTAACGGCTGCTCACGACGCAGCTCAACGTCTTACGGAGAGCAAAACGCGGTTTCTCTCTAACATGTCGCATGGCAAGTATAAAATTTATGAAGAGAGATTAGTCGCGTTTTCATTGTCGTTGCTGCACGCACGCCAAGCATGTATCTCATTACTTGCCTCCTTCATGTAATACAGAGATTCGAACACCATTAATTGGTATAACGGGTACAATAAGTTTTATGCTCGCTACAAACATGACGGATGAACAGCTCGATTATGCCTACACAATTCAACAATCAGCTGACGCCTTACTCATGGTTATCAACGATATCCTCGACTTGAGTAAAGTGGAAGCAGGGATGATGAAATTGGCATATGAACCGTTTTCCATTCATACGATGCTGGAAGACACAAATGAACTCTTGTCAAATTTGGCTATACAAAAAGGCTTGGAATTAAGTTTTATCATTGAGGACGATGTGCCAGATGTCGTTTGTGGAGATCGGACAAGGTTGAGGCAAGTGCTGCTAAATCTTGTCGGGGTAAGTAGAAATGAGCAATATTTTTGGGTGTGGAGAAGGAAGCGAGTGTTAAATTATTAACGTAGAGATAGGGCTTAAGCGCACCACTAATGGATACGAATGCACAAAAGTTTGCTTTTTGAATTTTTATTTGCGAACTAGATCAAGCAAGTCTATATTTCAGGTTGAGGGTATAGGTATATACTTGGTGTATAACTACCCTTAGACCTGAGAATCGTGTGGAACTAACCCGTTTTCCAATTTTTACCTTGTCGTTTTCTACATTTAGAACGCTATAAAGTTTACGACGGCTGGTGAAATCTTTTCCAGATGCTCAGTGAAATCTATCGATCCTGATGAGAACACAATAATGCTTTTATTTGCAGTAGTCGACACTGGTGAAGGCTTCGACCAACAGGAAGAAGCGCTCATATTCAAGCCGTATTCTCAGGCGGACTCATCCTCGACAAGGAAGCACGGCGGAAGCGGTCTCGGACTTGTTATATCGCGCCAATTGATTGAACTACATGGCGGCAGTATGTCCTGTGTCAGCAAGAAAGGTGTTGGCTCGACCTTTTACTTCTCGGCTCGGTTTTCGATACCGTCGAAAGAGACAGTCCCGAATCCACCGACACCAACTGGCGAAGTGTCAAATTCGCCCTTCTTTAGATATAGCAAAGCAGAAGTTGCTTTGGCGAATAAGAGATCAGGAGGAGGAAATGATGGCGTGTGCGAGCCTGATCAAATGGCGTCAACTATTAGTTCTAGTTCTGCAAGTTCGACCGGCTCTTCTCCACACCAAAATAGCCTACCTCCTTTATCATCATCATCATCATCATCATCATCATCATCATCATCATCATCATCCTACTCCTCTTCCTCTTTTTCTTCTTCGTCATCGTCAACTTTGTCTTCAATGTCACCTAGTCCACTTTCAATATTTGCAGAGAGCTCAGACCCGTCCGACGTAAGCAATAATGCTACAACACTAAAGGCGTTACCTCCTCGTCTAATAGTGCCCACACAATCATCGGAGCCTCCACGTAACATATGCGTTTTCGTAGTTGCCGACCTCTTGTATTCGCGGGAAACCATTGAATATTATGTTCGTTCGGTATTGAAGAAAAATGCCTCTTCAGAAATAGACGTTTTCACGACTTTTGCCGAAGCTAACAGAATACTGGCATCTCCAAACATAAAACGATATACTCATATCTTAATTAGCCTCTCATCGCAAGCGCAAATAATTACTCTCGCTTCAATAGTGAAGAATTCACCCAATATCTCCTCTGCCGACTGTATCATCTTTACTAGTCCATTCCAACGAATTGGCATTCTTGAAGGCGCAGACAAAGGAGAATTACCGAACAGAGTTGATTTCATATATAAACCCGTCAATAAGAGCAAGATGGCGTGTTTGTTTAACAGTTCTGCCGCATTGAGAAATAATTCCATGAAAAGAAGGAATACGAATAGAATTGTTACGTCGCATAAAGAATTGTTTAAGAGTATGATAGATGATGTTGGTGGGAAGGGATACAAAATATTGCTTGCAGAGGATGATCCCGTTAATCAAAGAGGTTTGTGTTTGGAAGAGAATGGCTTTTGTGTCAATTTGTTTTGGATGAGCGTTGTTAACTTGATTGATTTATTCTTTCTAGTTATGATAAAGTATCTGAAGAAAGTAGGTCTTGATGTTACCGTTGCGGCTAACGGAATTCAATGCCTGAGCGAGTTTTTTTCACATTCCCATGATTATTTTAGTCTGATATTGGTGGGTATACACAGTTTACTGTCAAAGAGTATGATCATACGTGTTCATGACTTCTTGGATTAACAAGACACTTTTTTTTTTGCTCTCAGTGTGATCTGTTTATGCCCCTTAAAGGTGAGTTGCTGTATTCTATTCCTGTATCTACACATAGATTGATCTTGTTACTTATACTAAATTTTTCGTTAGATGGTTATGGGACAACGGAGGAAATCCGTAAATGGGAATCCGAGAATCTCAAGCCTGGGAGTGAGCTTCCGATTCCGATAATAGCACTCTCTGCGAATGTGATGACAGACGTTGCTGAAAGATGCCTAGAAGCGGGATTCACCGCGTATGTGAGCAAACCGGTCAACTTTGCCGCTCTCAGTGATGTTATCAGAAGAGTTCTCAGGGATTCTGACCAGGCTAAATCGAGAATATCCTGAACAGGACAATGGAATATTGAGGGTTTAGGATACGAATTAGCCGAAGTGAATGTTCATGTAATTAATGTATAGTTCAGTTTAGGTACTTGTGATATTTTGTAATGGATTTGAACAAGAAGGAAATATAATTGTGTGAACATTCACTTTGGTTTTGGTTTTGGTTTTGCTCTTTTTTTGGGAGAGGAAGGGAGGAGATGGTGTTTAGATATCATAATTTCGTCTACATTTACTGTTATAGTAACTCTTTATTAGTATATAATATTGTTTCTTTCACTGGAACCCTTACTTACTACATTTGTTTTGTATAGTCGTCTAATGCATATTACATTCCACGTTCATGTCAATAGATATATATAGGTTTATATTTCCCTTGGGAGATTTATTTGGTTAGACGTGTCGAACACATACGACATTCAAGTGTTTGTTCTTTAGTCGATTGGCACACTTAATCCCGATTGTTTATCTTTAGCATATACTCCCTTGTAAAGTAATTTCTTTGGTTGTTTTTTTTCCTCTTTCGTTTATGTTTGTTGTTTATTGATGGACAAAAACTTTTTTTATTTGCCGTAAGTCGGTTTTTAATTCTTATATGATTTGATCACTTCTTTTTTACCTTCCCTCAATACATGCAAATACATAACACATAAACCGAGAAGACAAGTGAAATTGCATTGATAAGAGACGAATGACGAAAAAAGACGTTGTCTATATTATCGATGGTGATTGTCATGTTGTAGATAATGAAAAGCTTGTAAATAATGTTAATAGAGAAATGTTGGTAATTCCTATCAATTAAACATCAAAGTTTACACGCATAAAAGAAATTCTGTATCGATCAAGTTATTGTTCTTTCGGCAAAACAACTCGAAAAAGGGACAACGTGACAGTAATCAAAGTCAAGCGCCAATAGCGAAAGATTTGCAAGATACAAAGTACCGTCTTTGTGGTAATAATTCCTGCTCGATTGCCAAATACAAGCTCGGGTGTTGGAGAATTTCATTCGACCACTTTTTGACTAGATGCGCAATTGTACGATTTGTAACCTTTTATACACGCGAGTGTAGTATAACAGCGCAGGCTGCTGTACAGTGAACAAGGTTAAAAGATAAACGTCCAATGATGCTTCAGAAAGAATATTTTATTTAGCAATATGAGATACAAAGACTTGAGAGTAATATTGATTTATTGTATCACAAAAGACTTGACTTTAATAAAGGCTTGCGTTATCCAATCAACCAGAAGAACTCGTGGTATTACGGCGCTTATAAAACGCAATTCCGAGAAACACGTTTGGCGACATCAAGCGAGAACTGCGAGAGGGAGAAAAGGATGTATTCAGAGCTAGCTAGACTACACATGATTGATTTGTATAATTATAATGCGTTACTAAAATAAATGGTTTTGAAGCTAGTTACTGTATATAATCGCCAGATATTATTAATATCATTACCATTAAAGTAAAATTCCAGCTAAACAGTTCTGACTCATATGTACGAAACTTGTTGATATGGAAGCACATATAATCGAGACGCAGATGCTGTTTGCTCTATTTCACGATTGATAAAAAAAAAAAAAGTAGCATGCTACCATTAAGAATATTTACATTTTTATTTTCTCAAAATTCACACACACAAAATAGGTTTTGTAATTGTTGGTTTTTCTCATTAGTATTCCGTTCTTGAGAATCACCGCGCGCGACTAGTGGTATTGATTGCTTCATATTTAATATGTAACACGACATTACAAAATTAAACAAGACAGTAGCAAAAAGATCGTCATATCATATGGAAAACGAAACCATTAATTCCAATCTGCGTAATTAGGCATATGTTATTTATCGTGATCGCTTGCCTTGTTCAAAACTAGCATAGCAATGACTCTCAACAGACTACGCTATATATATGCGTGTCCAGGAAAATATGCGTTGGCTGATTATGTTACTGTCTCCACATGTCAATCCCTTAACACTCATGGAATGGAAAACCAAGTCAAATTACTATATGCGGGAAGTAATTATATTATTGTCTCTAACAAAAAAAGCATGAACTTGTTGAACAAGAACGTATTAACGAGCAGGGTAATAATAATGGCCTGTCAAATCTCTTTGGTTGGAAGAAGTTGCTTGATTAGACATTGGCTTAATGTGAGGGGGGGAAGGGGAAGAGGAAGGGGAAGAGGAAGGGGAAGAGGAAGGGAAGGGGAATAGGAAGGGGAAGGCGACGGGGAGAAGGGGTAGAAGGGAGAGCATATGACAAAATATGGAAGACTAATTTATTCTGTATAATAACGGGTTATTTTCACCTCGACCTTTTTTTCACTGCTTGGGAGAGGAAAGAGACATTTGATTAAATAAGGATTCGGAATGAACACATTCATATGTCATTTTTATGATTGGTACAGGCAACTTAAAACTAAACATACTCTTCCAATCTTTTTTTTTCTACGGGCCATGCGAATCGAGCCTCTCGGTCACACGATTTGTTGTATGAACCTGTGAATTTGATGGCTAGACTGCATGAGCGAAATACATCCGACAGATCGGATGATTCTGCTCAATTGTTCAAGGTGGGAAAAAAGGAAAAGGAATAGGGCAACGAAACGGGGTTTGAGAGAACTCTGTGTAGCATTTGATAACTGCACTGTGGACCCTAAAACTGTGTGGCGTATGCTATACTCTTGCCATTATCCTTACAATATGCTGATAGTGTAACATACTTGCTGTCAATAGCATAGCTGATAGGGGCTTTTTTTTTTTTTTTCACCGGATATAATGGCTTGCGATTTCTACAAACACAATCTTCGTTCTCTGAAACCACCCACTTACGAATTGCTACTTTCACAAGTAGTTCGTCGTGGACGAATTTCCTTTATATTAAAGGACTCGTTTACCGGTTTTGCGAGGTTACGAAGGAGCTTGTGGTTTTGTCGCTACGAGTTTACTTCTACCTTTTAAATTTTCATTTATACATATATTTATATATATTTATATGTCTATATTCATATATATTCATATATATATATATAATTTTCATTTCTATTTTATTTCATTTTATCCTCTTTAAAACTGTCTAGTCCTTTTTACGAATATCAAGATAAAGGTAAGGCATTGGGATTGTGGACTGAAACTGGGAAAGTGGGTGGGGAGACGGGGCGGAGTAAAGGCCAAAAAATGGTTGTGTGCGATCAGAAAAAAGGACGAGACTTTGGAACATTATAATAATAGCATAGTCTAAAATTCAGTCATGCCGTTCCCCAGATAAATACTCACTCGTTGTCTGTGCTCTACTTGCTCAGACGCAACTAATGCATACCGCGCTTATGCCAATTGCATATGGATAATGCTTGTATGCTTACTACATACATGGATAAATTCCTATTATTTTTTTTTAAATAACTACATATACTCACTGCATACTCTCGCTGTTGCAAGTCATACGCTTTACGATTATATTCAAACACATTCCTATTATTTCTCTATTGCTACTAGGACTTTTAAAATGGCGCCTAAATCGATCGAAGATAGAGCAACGCCCCATTTTAAGAAATTATTGCATGAGGTGGCTGCACATATATTTCATCAATTCTACACGTGCTACCGAAATGATGGCCTTCCTGCACTTCGTTGGCCCGAACATTTATCATTCTTGGCCAGCGGAGACCTTATAGACGCAGTCGATGAGGTAAGAATACAGTATGAACGTCTTGTCTTGACTGTACATTTCGGATATTGACTATGCTATTAGCAATATTAGTGAATGCGACACTCAATAAAAGACTAACCTGGAACTTTATGAAATAGTCTTTGACTTTTTCCACTAACATTGTTCCATCCAAACTCTTTTTTTTTTATAGCTTTTTAAAATTATAGAGCATGAAGAACACGCTATTTATCTAACACTCTATTATGCCCGAACACTTTCTCAAATTAATTCAACCTTCCAAGTGGATTTTACGTCTATCACGCGCTTTATTGCGATTGCCATAATGCTCGCTCAGAAATATCTGGATGACTGTAGCTGGGAGAATAAAGTCTGGGCTCACCTGGCCGGTATTCCCCTCGAAGAGCTTAATCAATTGGAATTGAAGATATTTCTCGATAAAGACTTTAGTCTATTCATCAAGAGCGATAGTTACGACGAATGGCTTAGACAATTACGTCAATATGTACCTTTATTACATGCGTACAAATGCATGTCTGAATTTAAACGTTATTCTGCAGCAACCAAAATTTTCTCAACTCTCGGTTATCGTCATCCCAACTATTCGGGAGTATGCTCTCAATCGAGTTCACCATATACGAGTGAAACTTCAGTAATTGACTCTCCGTTTATCGTCGATTCTCCCTTCGTCGTCGATGACTCGGTCATGGTCGATGATAATCGACAATGGGATTATGACCTTTTCACAACCAGTAATGGACTAGTCGTAGAAGACTACTGTTTAGGCGCGAGCTGTTTGAGTCCTTTTTTGGAGAGACAATACTCGCACTGCGCTGGCGCAAGTAGCAAGAATCTGGCATCCGCTCAGATTAGAGAGATTTGGGGATCGCAGTGTGCAACGAAACACGAAAGCAATCATTGCGGAATTCCAATGGCTATCCCCGACCATCTGCGCCACGTATGGGATATCACGTATTGAGTTTATTGAGCAAAAGAAACAAACCTGATCAACGAGATTTTGAACGCAACTTCAAGCTTGCCTGTCAATGTAGCAAGAAATTTCTCAATCTATCCTTCTATCCTTCAAGCGGAAGAACACTATTGGACATGCATATGTATTTTCAAATTCAGAATTTACCTGTAGCTTGAAACAACATCCGTGCGAAAAGCAGTTGCAGTCACATCGCTGGCCGGGGGGGGTAGTGGGGGCAAAAAGAAGGAAGGAAAAAGATAAAACAAAAAAAAAAGTATAAAAACGGAAAAAAATTTTAACGAAAAAACAACTTTCTCAAACGAGATGAACATTACTCCTCTCGCATAGGATTAGATTATTTTTTTTGTTCTTTTTGGTTCAACATTTGAGGTTTAATAAGGAAACATCTCTGTTTCAACTGGACTTGAGAAATTGACGATTATTTCCCTTTCCTTTTTTTTTTCAGATAATAATACTTGTTCGCTTTTAATCGCATTACGCGAGTGATAGTCACATGTTCGATGATAGCAATTTTTCAATCACACAAGAATAAATAATTACTTGTTTTTATCGGACCATGAATGATTACATGTCCGAAAGTCAAAACGATAAAAAAAGCAATCTTGTTAACTCGCTTGTCATTGATCGCTTCTGCGCAAAGAACATTGAGTTTGGTTACAAATAATGGTAACACAAACTTTGTTCTCAACTACAATTAATTCGTTCGATCAGCGTATAGCGTTTATCCCACGATCACCACATACGACTGGATTGAAAGAGAAAAATGCCCTTTTTTTCTCTCTCTCTCATACGCGCAGTAACAGATATGCAGTAGCACAACAGGTAAAGTGATGAAATGAGTGCATACAGTGTAGATCACTGACGTAAATGTAGGTCGCTTATGACAAAAGCAGATAAACAATGGCAGAAAGACCATATGAGGCGTACTGAATGAAACTGGGAGACTGGCGTGGCTGGAAAATTAACAATATGTAATTTGTTATATTAATGTCCGGAAAAGAGGGTCGTGTCCCTCAAATATTTGAAACAGCCCTTCTTTAAAGCTGAGTTGTGCTATTACACTGAAACTTTGCCCATTCAAATAAAGAAGAACCGTACTGGCTTTTTTGGCTAGCATTCATTATCTTGTTCATGACGATAGATTCTTGAAGTGTAGTCAAAACCTGTATCATACTATTTTTGTATTAAACAGAGTTTTACAGCAAAGATTATTAAGAACTTTGATGAAAAATTATGACGTAATTATTTACCCAGAAGAGGACAAGTCCAAGAATAGCAATAACGATGACCTTGGACCCGCAGCATAATGGAACCAATGCAATCTACTACGCAAAAATTTGTAATATCGCATCAATACTCGAATGGTTCAAGCCCGTTGAAGATCTAGCGCATATAGCATCGGGTGGTCCGAAATCCAGGGGGGGATTAAAAGATGAGCAGAAAGGAAAATTTGACGATTCGTGATCTAACGAATGTTCGCTTTATCGATAGAAAATAATTTCTAGTATTACAATAAACTATCGTCATTCTTTACATGTTCCAACGCTCCTAGTAATTATTTATCAGCGTTAGATAAACAAGTTGGAGTTTCTGTAGTTTCTTCAAGTGGTAAGCTTAACTGGAGAAGCTTGGGATTGGAATGGTTGTTTGTATTGTAAACGAGTTGGAATAGAATGAGAATGAATATTCAAACATGAACGTTAAAATAGAGTTTGGGCAAATTTGGGACGGCTAAGATTTGTTTGATTAGTCATGTGGTTTTTCTTGAACTTGACGTAAAAAGATCTTACTTCATATATATTACACATCCTTCACGTGAATACGTGTCGAAAGTCCACCACAGTGATAGTGTGTCAGGCGCATCAATCTCAAAACTCATGATATCCGGTCTTCAAATTATTTATTTGTTTTGCTGTACGCATTTTATTCAAAATAATTAGAATGCGTTAGCTTTTAATGAAGTACACGACCTGGTACAAAAGAGAGAGACCTCGAATTAATTATCTAATTAAAGCTATGTGCGCGACTTAATAACCATAACAATTTTTTTAAACAAGTAAACCATTTTTACGTAGTTAATTTATATTGACTTGTTTAAAATGTCTCTCTATTCACTATCCAACAAAGTGCTGCACCTCTAGCTAAAAATAATCTTAAGCACAAATTTTCAGAGGAAAATTCCTCATCTAGAGACACTGAAATTCTCACTGCGAGTATATTGCTGACGTTCTCAACATTTTACGCTAGAATCTTCAAACTAGGCATTCACCGGTTTGGATTATTACCATACAGAAACCTTCCGTTTCTATACACGAACTTTCTAAACATGTTAACATGAGTGGAGGGTTATTCACGAATAGAATAAGTATAGAAATGACGCACTACAGAACGCAAAACTTAGGCAGTTGCAATTATTACACTTTTTGCGTGAAAGAATTTACATGTATTATTTCAAACAAAATAAAAACGCCTGTTTCAACATTAATTCTGCGGCTATATATTGCTGTAATTGAGTTATACTTTATAAATAAAAATTTCTTTATCAGTTGCATACATTAGGTTACTTGATAGAAATACTAAAGATGAGACCAGCTTCGAGATCGGTTTGTGGTTGTTGATTCTTCGAAAATGTATCGTTAGATGACTGAATTAATTCCAACGGTAAAAAGCCGAAGGATGAAAATTAATTATCTAGGACTGGTTCCACGCATACTGAGGTCGTAAGTGAAAAGCCTGATTAATTGTTTTATATTTTATGTAACTAAAATAGTAGACCGTTGATGAGGTAGTAGTGGTCTGCTAAGAGTAATACAGTCAACGTCCAACAGTCAAACACACAGCAAAAGTGGTGACTATGACTGTATAAAAGGTTTACGTACGGCCGATGATTGAAAATTTATTATTAATTTGATTAGATAAAGATACCATCTTTCTCTCTTTAAAGTTAACAACGAAATAGTTAAACTAAATTCTAAAGTGTCAATTTATTGGTGTTTGATGGTCTGCCTATGCAGTACTCTATACAATGCATAAAATTTCCAAACAATTTACTAATTTGCTTTGGATATTACGTGTTCACAAATTTCATGTTTATTTTGGGCTCACTAAATACATGCCTTTGACATTACAAAGTTAATGAAAAGATTAGTGTGTGACGATTTGCAACAATCAGATAATTGTATGCGTAATTCTCATCTCTCAGTTACTTTATCAATACAAACACTACAAGTAATTAATAAAAATGTTGGACATTTAAATTAAAATGGTCAAAATAACAGTTCAAATTAGATGTTTTTCTCAGACATTGATACTTTGCAATAAAAAATTTTATGGCAAAAAGCCAGAATAAGCAGTTTTAACAATGGCTAGTAATAATAAATTTGAAGAATTAAGGTTGATATTGAATGGTGTTGAAAATAAAGTGAATAACAAAAACAGGCTAGCCGTGAGTAATAAGATTGAAAGCAACTCTCTTTCACATACTCTCACTGCTTTTTACTTTCCAATTGCTAGCGAGATATAGCCGATTGAAAAGAAGATAATTAACAAGTTGCACCAGATGATCAAAGTATAGAAATGTTTATTGATGACTTTCGTCACAAATACAGTATCTCTTTTTCCCGTACTTTGTAATTTATATCTTCAAAAGCGTAATTACATTATGTTATTTTGCTCTTTGTTTGCAATTGTGGAAATGTCAAACTAATTGCATAATTGTAATTTTTTTTATATTAACATAAGTTAACACCTGTTGCTTTTAGCAGTTTTAAACTTTGAGTCTTTGTATGATATTATTATGTTCATATTATTATCATCTGTTTTTGCTCTATTCATTAGTATTAGAGAAACTTAAATACAGTAGCTATCCTAATTGCAATAGAATCACTCGCTATTTTAGTAAAATTAAAGATAAAATTGAGCAGTGCTTCTTCAAGAAGGTTTCAGACGTTATATTTCGAAAATACGCATTCCGAGCATTAATGGTAGAATAAACGTATTTTGAAGAGCTAAAAGGTATACAACTATATGTTAAAGTATATTATGCGCTAAATGATGCTCAGGCAAATATTAATAATTGTCAAGAAGTATTGAATGTTACATTAATTAGTATTAGTATTAGTATTAGTGTTAGTATTAGTAATAGTATTAGACCCTTACATTAGAATTGATTAATTTTATATTGATAAGCAAACATTTAAAGTCGAAACGACAATAAGCTATAATAGTCAAGCCACGCTTTGCGTTGAAAAGTTTATCATTATTTGAAAGAAAAACTTGTAAATTCCAAGGTGGTGGAAATATTCTTCACACAAGCAAATACAATTTCACAAAAAAAAATGATCGAATTCGTAATACATAAAATTTCGCATATCGATATATACGACCGACTGGAATTTACTACGAATCGTGTTTGTGCACCGCAAATCATCTGATGACGTCACGAGCCAACATGTTCTTTGCGCCCCTGGTCTCCACAAAACAGTAACTCTACCAAAAACCACACTATACAATGGAGATATTAATACCTTTCTTTCTTTTATCAGCCGTAATGTTTGCGGGATCCTTTCTTGCAGGAATCATTCCGTTATTTTTTCAGTTATCTGAGGAACGCTTGAGGATTACCTCAGCTCTTGGCATTGGATTACTCGTGGGAACGAGTCTGGTTGTTATTATTCCTGAGGGTATAGAGACACTGTACAGTATAGAATTTTCCAATGACATATCGGTCAAAGAAATACTACCCTATCTATCTCAAGGTCCGGATGCTCCAACGTCAGCGGATTCTTCCAGCGGGACAATAACCAATTCCATGAAACGACGCGACGATCTTGACCTTGACGCTGACGGCGAGGATGCATCCTTGCTGTTCTCTCCTCCTCCGAGTCATTCTCACAAAAACTCGACTCACCGTTATGTTGGCCTATCCTTGCTTCTTGGATTCGTCCTAATGTTCCTCATCGATCAAATCGGCGCTCCTCACGCTCACGCTTATACTTCTGAATTTCCCGAACGTCACTCCCCAGCTTCTTCCGAGCATTTGGACATGTCATCCGATTTAGAAGCCCCAAAACACCAGTTGTCTTCAATAACGATTGGTCTTGTAATTCATGCGGCAGCAGATGGAATCGCCCTCGGTGCATCAGCGAATCAACCAAATCTGGAGCTGATGGTCTTTCTCGCAATCATGCTTCACAAAGCACCATCTGCCTTTGGTTTATGTGCTGTCCTGCTCCGCGAAGGACTTGGTCGTCGACAAATTAGGAGACGCGTAGCAATATTTTCCGCATCTGCTCCGACTACGGCAATTCTGACATGGATTTTACTGGGAAACATTGGTGATGTGGGGACGGCAAAGGCGCTGTGGTGGACGGCGGTGTTGTTGCTGTTCTCGGGGGGTACGTTTCTTTATGTTGCTATGCATGTAATGAAAGATTTAAATGGTTCGGAAAGAGGACATACGAGTAAACTGCCAAGGAAGATTGTTACGGCAGTTATCATAGGAATGTTTGCTCCGATCTTATTGGAGTTGGGACATTTATAGAACTGATTTTGTAATAATTATATTCGTGATTCGTTAATCAATGGTTTTTACTAGACAAAGTTTTAAGTTAATGATAATAATTTGTACTCTTACTGTGATGCGTAATAACTCTTTGCTATCAAGGCACGTTTTATTCTGCGATTTATGAAAACTAAATTTTCGTGATCTTTATTGGCACACATGTGGTGGTCACATTTCGTGCTTTTACTACCAAAAAGATTTATCTGGTGCCTCGCGCATCCAGTTTTTATGAAAACTGATATATCTGTGGGAAGACAAGGTTCTGTAATGAAAGCGGATATTCCGGGTTAGCGAAAGGATTGTTTGTATAACAACAGAGTGGGGATTTTACGTATATCACCCGAGTAGACTTTATTTCGTTAATGACACATTATTGTACTCACGATTGTGTAGACTTTATCTTTCCCGTTCACCAGAGTAGAACGTTTCGTACAGACAAGATCAGAATTTACGCCTGGATTTGGAAGATTCAAGGTTTGTTTCAACATACGCATAAGGTGGAACTAATGAATAGAATGATGAATCACCTTCCAGTCTATTTGATAATGCACGAAAATTAAATATATCATTATCACTGTTGAAAGGATGCTAGTGCTCAATAAGACAAGACTAAATTCACCAATTCCGTCTATACATACATGAACAGTGTTCATGCAAACTTGGTCTCCATCCTCTGATGCATAACCAATTGAATCAAGAACATATTAAACCGATAAATGTTGGAGCATTTTCTTTCTCTGTAATCACTTCAATACGAATAATCTTAGCTTGAGCTAACATTACAACATGCAAAATGATTCGGAACAACTCTTACAGGAAGGGTGCGTTCAAAATGTCATTATTGATCGGTTTTGTCGTCATTGCAATGTACACTCACCGGAAAAAAGTATCGACAAAATCTAAATGTTACACAAACTTTTGTTTAACTCGATAATCTTTAAAGT